TTGTTTCAACTTATATAACCACCAACATGAACACTACACCACTGTGATGACAAGTGATCCTTTGACCCTCAAAAACACTTATTCATATAAAAATAAAAGAGGTGCCACTCATAGTGCAGATAGTTTGTATACCATTCATTAAAAAAAGAGTGTTCAATAACACCATCACAGCAAGGAACAGCATAAAAAGCAAATCTTATGTGATGACATCACAAGGGAGGCTCTGCCCAGCGCGTTTCGTCATACCAGAGGGGGCCCCTTGTGACATCATTACATAAGATTTGCCATTTATGCTGTTCCTTGATGTTTGATGGTTCTAATGAATGCTGGAAAATGTATGATGTTTGTAAGTGTGTTTCTCTTTTCTTAATAAATGGCATACAAACTATCTGCACTATGAGAGACACTTCTTTTATTGTTACTTGAATATATGCTAACTTTGTGATATCGGGGTGGTCTTAAGAGCTTTTGAGTATACATGTGGTCTGGCTTGAGATACAGTAGTCTGGATTGGATGTTTTTTTAACAAAGCACATGTTGATCCCCTATAATTAAGGTGTCAAAGAAACTGATAAGCCTCTATCTTGTCATCACAGTAGTGCAGTGTTCATGTTGGTGGTTATATGAGTTGGAACCAGGGGTGGACTGACAATTCATGGGGCCCCCGGGCAATAGGGGATCATGGGGCCCTTGTATCCTCGCCCACACCCAAAAAAGCCTATGAAAAAGACAATGAAAAGGTACCAGGGGCATCTCATGGGGTCCCATACTGACCCCGGGCCCTCGGGCAGTGCCCAAGTGCTCAAATGGTCAGTCCGCCCCTGGTTGGAACCAAGATTTGGGATAATGCACCATAAAAGGGGACTGTTACATATACCCCCATAGGGACTGTCACATATATGATTATTTTGCACTTTATTGTTTGGTTTCGGTTTATCTTTGAGCAATTTACTCACTGTTTACATTTGTATATGTATGCATTATTTATTGCATATATGATTTATATCACTTTGATTGTATTTTTAGCGCAACACTAGATATTTATTTATAGATTTGGTATTAAGGATATCCTATTAGTGTGTTTGCTGGTTTGTCTACTATTCAATTTAAGCACTTGCGTGGTTTTAATTGTGTTCATTTACATTTTTCTAAACATGAAGTTAAAAATATCAGATGGTTTTACACAGTGGCCTGTTTTCAATGTGATTTGAAATCTGAAGGTAAACTTATAGCTCTTAAAATGAGCTTTTAGCGGCATTATTTGTCTCAGAAAAGTTACACTTTTTCCTATAGTGTTGGTGGGGGGTGTTAAATAAGTGAATTTTTAAGTGCATTAATGCATAACAGCTAAGACTTCATTGAGCTGAAGTCAACTCAGTTCAAAATGAAAGCAAATTAGATGCCATTGAGTACTTAAAGCTGACATTTAGTTATTTTTTGGGGGGAATACAGACCAATACACATTACTTATGTGCAATTTGTATATGCTATCACCTGCAGGTTGCTGCTTTTGCTAAAAACTCCTTCACTGCCCTGAGCATCTGTCTTCTTGCACTGTGAAAGTTGACTGCAGCTGCTACTACTGAGGAAAGTTGCACCACATACCCTCTTCTGCCTTCTCCACTATTCATATTGCTTGTAATACCACATTCAGACAATGCATTGCATTCTGTGACTGGGTGGTGAATATTTCAATGACAGGATTCCAACTTCTATTTGAAGAATACAATGCATTGTGGGAGTGTAGACATAGAAAATCCTAGTAATGGCTTAGGGCAGTTTCCAGCAGCTGTGAGGTAACACTACAAGGAGGAATATACTTAAATAATATAATTGTAGAAAAAAATTGGTTATGTACACGTTAAACATTGCATATGAATATTTTGTATGACCACCTACGAAGCAGAGCTTTCGGCTCTTTTTTGCATGTTTTCCTTATCTGCTTTGATAAAGAATCCTGTTGTTTGCAGAGCTCAATAGCTCAAGCTGAAGGTCACACACATGCAACAGTATGAGTCAGAGCTTTGAATCCACCAGCACCCCCCCCCCCCTCCCCAATCCCTTGCTGACCCTCTCTGCTTTTTTTTTCCTGACAATTCTGGTTTCCTGGCTGTAATAAAGGCCATTGTACTTTATGATTCGCTGGCATGTCTACTTATAAGTAAATCAAAGTCAGGAGTTTTTATCCACATACGTGTTCTTCATTTTGGTTACAATTATTGAAGTAAAATGGTGGAAAAGGCTTCCAGACAATTAGCATTTGCAGAATTGACAATGACAATCTCTACATTTCTATCAGGAAAGGTTCCCTTTGAGCCCAGAGATTTTTTGGATGACAGTCCTTCAGTCCTACTGAATTGGATGTCAATCCTTCAGTCCTAAGGGATTTGGATGTCGGTACTTCAGACTTAGGGATGTGGATCTCGGTCCTTCAGTCCTGGGTGTTTGGATGTCAGTCTATCAGTCCTAGAGATTTGGTGTCAGTCCTTCAGTCCTAGGGATTTGGATGTCAGGACTTTGGGATTAGGTATTGAAAACTCATTTATGTATTTATTTATTTATTGTCATTATATTTTCTCTAATTGTTTAGAAAATCTATAGACATAAATATTTCTTTATTTTAATGAGCATCAACCAAAAATAAATAGTCCCATATTCCCCCTCAAACCCCCGTGTTTTTACATTTTTGTAACTTTGTAAATTATTGGTAAACACATTTTTGTTACTTGAAGCTCTTTTTTACGCAAAGTCAGTTTCTTATGTTTTCATTTACTGGACTTTTAAATTTTATTATATTTTTCTAAGTAAGATGAGAAAGGGCACTCCGATCTGATTGAAAAATCCTGCTCCAGGGAATTTGGGGCTATCATTGCATTGTCACTCTTAGGGCATTGATTTTCATATAAATTTACACAGGTCTATGACCATGCTTTGTGGCTCAGTGACTTTAAGCAGGAGTTCATTCATCTTAGGTGAAAATTTAATTTTACCTGAGCACACAGATTGTGCCACCGATTAGCAGTTCATCTATTTCTCAGACATCACAGGACAAATTTTTTCTCAGTGCAATCATTTATGATTTGAAAAACTAAGCGGATGAATGATGTGATATTTATATCTCATGAAATATCCCAGAAATATACATGAAATGCCGAACAGTCTAAGTTGGATGTAATAAAAAGAGTACTTGCTGCCCTAAGGTTTGAATTTTATCATCTGCATGTTGTTTTCTTGTATTTTTTTTTAAATAAATGACATGTCAAAAACTGTGAAAGCATTTTTTATTTACTGTTATTTTTTCCTGAATTAGTAGGGGGTAGTATATAGGTGCCCCCTTATTGTTATATTAATATTAAAGTCAAAGGTTTTTTATTTTTTTTTTAGAAAAAACATAATATACCTACCTGCTCTGTGCAACAATATTGCACATAGTGGTCTCTTACCTCTTCTTTAGTGGTCCCCGCCAGCACTCTCCGTTCCTCCTCTTTTCTGAGTGGCAACATAGAAAGCCATGTGCTATGGGAGCATGCTCCTGACCTGGGCTGTGCATGTCCATAGACAAACACAGCATAGTTTGACCACACACCCTGCTCCTCCTCACAGGATTTGACTGACAGCAGGACCAGTGTTTAGGAATGGGGGAGAACAAGTAGAATTAAGTTTATACCTTAATGCAGGGAATGCATAAAAGTAAAAACACCTGGACTTAGCACCACTTTAAAGGAGGCTTCCAGGTTTCAATAAGCTCCCTCCGGTAGACTCCCAAAACCACTGGGTCAGGATTGTGAAGAAAAGGCCCTTGTCCTCACCAACATGGGGACAACATGTTTTGCCAAAATACCCTCCACATGTTAAGGGTATGTGGCCTGGTATGGTTTGGGTGGTGCACATTCATCCCTCTCATTTCCTACATTATCAAGTTCACGATCTGGTATGGATTTTGGGGAGAACCCATTAATTTTTTTTGCATGCGGTTCCACCATAAAATCTATTTCAGATCTAAAAGGGCTTTTTATTAATTTTTTTTTATACTACAACTTTGTTGCTGTAGCAGGTTGTATACATCCTACAGGGCAACCCCCCCAGGCAGGTTATTTAAAGTAACTGGCTGTTTTTAATGTATCACTTTAAGCATTATTAAAAACACTGATTCCAGCTTATAAAAGGTTTTTACTTGTTGTGTATTAGTATATGTCTTCCAGGTCATGTCCCAGACCCCATATCATTTGTTTGACAATCTCTAGCCTAATATCCAAGAAAATTGCTATTATTGATTTTACAGATTCAGCTGCCATTGATTTTAATGGTGTTTCTATTTAGTATAAGGACGTATCTAATTTTCAACAAACCCTGCTCGAACTAAATCCAGGTATATTGTATCCTTTCTTCCATGTCAACTTCCTTTAACCACTTGCCTACCAGGCACTTATACCCCCTTCTTTACCAGGCCAATTTTCAGCTTTCATCGCTGCCGCACTTTGATTGACAATTGCGCGGGTCATGCAACATTGTACCCATATGAAATTTTGATCATTTTTTTCTCACAAATAGAGCTTTCATTATGGTGGTATTGGTAGTAAAGTGCCACTGGGCGCTTTACTTTTTGCGCTATAAATAAAAAAAGTGCAAAAAAAAAAAAAAAAAAGTTTATTTGTTTCTTTTATAAAATTTTTCAAACAGGTATTTTCTCTCCTTCACTGATGTGCGTTGATGAGGCAGCACTGATGGGCACTGACAGGCGGCACTGATAGGCAGCACTAAAGGGCACTGATAGGCAGTACTAATGAGGTGGCACTAAAGGGGCACTGATAGACAGCACAGGATAGGCGGCACTAATATGCAGCACTGATAGGCGGCACTGATAGGTGACACTGATGATGGTTACTGATAGACGGCACTGACTGGCATCACTGCTGGGCACTGACTGGCGGCACTGACTGGCACAACCCCTGGGCACTGACTGGCAGCACTGCTGGGCTGCACTGGTGGGTGGCACTGGTAGGCAGCACTGGTGGGTGGGCACAGGTGGGTGGCACTTGTGGGCACAGGTGGGTGGGCACAGGTGGGTGGCACTGCTGGGCACATGTAGGTGGCACTTCTGGGCACAGATAGGTGGCACTGCAGAGTGGCACAGGTGGGTGCACTGCTGGGCACAGGTGGGTGCACTGCTGGGCACAGGTGGGTGTACTGGTGGGCATGGGTGGGCGGAGCTAGTGGGCGCACTGCTGGGCGGAACTTGCGGGTGGCACTGCTGGGCACCGATCATCAGGGCACTGATCATCAGTGCCCTGATGATCGGTGCCGATCCCCGCTCTGACAACTGCCGGTTCTCGGCAGTACTTTCCTCACGATCTGACAGCGTGAGGAAAGTGCAGCCGAGAACCGGCACTTGCATTTCCCTCTGATCAGCATGTCATTGGACACCGCTGATCACGTGGTAAAAGGCCGCTGTGATTGGCCTTTTACCACATCACGTGATCAGCTGTGTCCGTAGGACACAGCGATCACGGAGATCGCCGGTGTGCGCGCCCCCTGGGGCACGCAGGAGAGCGCGTTCTGGGAGGACGTCATATGACGTCCACCCAGAACTGGCCGGCCGCAGTGAAGCCGTCATTCGGCTATCTGCGGTCGTCAGCTGGTTAACTCTTGCCTCCAGAACTTCTCCCGAGCCTTTCTGGAACTCCTTACCCCAATCTGTCCAACTATCTCCTAGTCTGTCCACTTTTAGACGATCCCTGAAAATCCTTCTCTTCAGAGAGGCCTACCCTGCCCCCACCTTACAACTGTACTTTTATTTTTCCATCAGCTCATTCCCCACAGTTATTAACTTTTGTATTTCTTGACCCTCCCTCTTAGGTTGTGAACTGTAATGAGCAGGGTCCTCTGATTCCTACTGTGTTAAATTGTATTGTAATTGTACTGTCTGAACTTATGTTGTAACACCCTGTGTAAACTGTTGGCACTATATAAATCATGTATTATAAAAATATTAATAATAAATACTTGGTGTTCATGGCTGTGTAGCTCTACCCTCTTGAAGGCCGCTGGATTTGTTTTGGGTCCCCCTAAGCTCTTCACAGCCAGACAACACACATATTCCACACTTGCACACTTGTAGTCAGTAAACAGTCCTTGAGCTGGTTTTTAGTTTTTATATTAGGGGTTAACAACTTGGATGGGATCTAGGGATATATGGGAGGCCCAAGGAACTTTAAATTTGAGGACAAACTTCCTATTAACAATACTGCACAAAAAGGTGGCTCAACAAAAAATAGCAACTGTCTCTGTTAAGGAGCACTGAAGTCCCCTTGGTGTACCTCCTCAGTCCCTCACATGAGAACTAGTTGGGTCTTGCACCTGACTGTCCTCTCCTTTTTATCTGGCCCAGGGGGTGTAGGAGTACTGACACTGACCTGTCCTGCCAGCTTGGTGGATTGGTAGCTGCTTTCATGCTTTTCACAGGGCTGGCTCCTTCCCTCAGGATGTCCTCCCAAAGAGACGGTGGTACAGTGGAGATTCTCCTGTCCATCAACCAGCCTGTGGATAGGCTCCGCTCCCTGGGGCCCCCTTCCAGGCTCAGTCCATCTTCCACCTGACTCCCCTACTGCTCAGGCTCTTCTACGTTTTTGTCCTTGGTCACCATACCCGGCCTCCTGCTTGGGAACTGGCCAAGGTCCCTCAAACATACATATCTGGGCCTCCTCCCCTCCTCCATCCCTCTTCCAAAAAGTTTTCTAAGTTTCTAAGGGTTGGAGGGTTTCAGAAGCCCTGGCCTGTAGAGCCTCCCAGCCTGTCCTGAGGTGAACTACTGCCACGCTCCCAGGCTGACTCAACCCAGGCTGCTACCCAGCCTCTGTCTACCAATAAAATAAAAAGGCCATCTACCTAGAAGGCTTGACACCTGTCCCTTTGCTTTCCTATTTGTTTGACTACAGTAAGCAGGAGGACTGTTATGGCTGAACTCAGCTTTCTCTTCTCCAATGGTCAGACTTGTGCTCACATGTTTCTCCCACACAGCAAGTCATTGGGTAGAACAGTGTATGCTGTTTCTCCTCCCCCACCTATTTGTGCAATAAGGAACAGAGCATATGTGATCACTTATAAAAAGGGTACAATAGGTATTTATAATGTTTTAATGCAGTACTGCATGTATACACACACGTTTTGCCTTTAATTCCTATTTGAAACTGAATGGGTTGTTTTACAGGGTTTACATATACTTTAAAGTTGGTGGCTGCATTCATTTTCTTTTTAATTTTTTTTCCCCTTAATTTTCACCTCATGATCCGGCAAGTAACTTACTGTCTAAGGGTGTCTCCATTCTGTGGGGGAGTAATGGAGATACCTTTGGGCAGCAGTATTGTCAGCCTATTAAGAGGGAAGTGTTAGATAAACTAGCAAATTAAGATGAATATGACTAACAAATTAAAGCTGAATTAACACTTTTTAAGCAGTTACAGCAAACAGTTTTTTTTTTTCTTGTGGTTAAATGTTTTATACAAATGAATAATAGCAGAACACTGTAAGCGTCCCTGCCAGGCTACGATCTGATCCGATCCTTCCCTACTAGGTCCAGAAAAAATACATACGGATGTAGGTGGGTGAAAATAGCCTTTATATCTGTCTGTTCACAGAGCTGCATGGAACTTCCAGTCGGGTCTGTCTGAAAAACTGACAGGCGGACCTGATCAGAAAGTCTGTATGAAACAACACTAACATTATATGTTATCCTTATCTCCATGCTGAAAGGATAATTCTTCCTTGGTCATGTGTTCTGGATTATTGAGAAAGCTGGTTTATTTAAACGTTGTTCTTACCCAGAAGAAAATGTATGAAATTTTTCACTTAAAAAAAGCTAAAACTTTTTTATGCTTAGGATTTGCTCAGACTCATTGGCAAGAAATTGAATTGAATTGGTCAAATCACATTAATGTTACTGTGTCTTCTAATATATCTCATTTGTTAAGTGTATTTAAAAACATAATTCCATACAGTGTTCACCTTTATATTATTCACATTGAGTTTAATCGTGCATTGTTTAAATTCTAGACTGGATTACATATTCATGCTGCTTGTTCCTCTTGGTAGTGCTGAATGCATTTATAAACAGCAATTAAGCCTTTTCTCTTCTTCGTGACAAGTCCAAAAAGAACAATTCTTGTGGGATAATAGATGAGCACTGTACTTTTAGAGATCTTCTAAAAATAGGAATTTATACTAGAGTTGTGACCAGTGTAGATGTAATTAATAGAGAGCAATTATGCTGTTTCCATCTGTCAAAAACTTTTTTTGTGCCAGTCAGGGTTTAGCAGCTAAGCCTCCAGATATGGAAAGCCTACAAGTCCCAGTGGATTTGCATGTTGGGACCTTTAGTTGCTTCAAAACTGTCATCCCAGTTTGCATTTGCTTGGATATATCAACCCTGCCTTGCTTATAACAGCTGTGTCTTACCTGTAAGTAACAGTGACACCTGAAAGTAGGTGGGAAATATAAGGGAGCAAGTGAACTTGTTGTCCCTAAAGTTGAAGGTGTTGAAAGCAGAAAAAAGGGCAAGAGTAAGGATTTGAGCAAATTTGACAAGGACCAAATTGTAATGGCTAGACGACTGGTTCACGGCAACTCCCAAACTGCAACTGTTCCTGGTCTGCAATGATCAAGACTTACCAAAAGTGATCCATGGAAGGAAAATAGGTTAACCAGTGAATGGGTCATGGGCAGCCAAGGCTCATTAATGCAAACGGGGAGAAAGGGCTGGTCTGTGTAGTTCAATCCAATGAATGAGCTACTGTAGCTCAAATTTCTGAAAATGTTAATGCTGTTTCCAATAAAAAGGTGTCAGAACACACAGTGCATCGCAGTTTGTTGCATATGGGGTTGCACAGCTGCAAGGTGGCCAAGATGGCCCATGTCCACACCCAAAAGCACCTACATTTGGCACATGGGCATCAGAACTTCACCATGAAGCAATGGAAGATGGTGGCCTGGTCTGATGAATCATGGTTTCTTACATCATGTGGATGGCCAGGTGCGTGTGTGTCACTTACCGGGAAAAAGATGGCGCCAGGATGCAGCATGAAGAAGGCAATCCGACGGGGGCAGTGTGATGCTTTGTCTAGTGGAGTCCATGCCTTGATAGGCCAGGGCTGTTTTGCCAGCAAATGGGGGATCTACTCAATATTAGGTGGAAGGTCACATTATTATGGCTGATCAGCGTATATACAGTAACCAGATAAAATCTAACTCCACTTTCACTTTATGTTTTTATAACTTAAAATTGCTTCACATGCCACTTTTGATTTAAAGTAATTAAAAAGTCATTTCTATTTCTAAAGCCAGCTATGATTTTCTTAAACTAAACCTTTAAATGTTACTTCTTGGTCATTGCAGCAGGAAATGTTCTGTACACTGTGCGCCACATCTTTGCTTTCATCAGCATACTCAAGGGTGTCCCAGTTCCTTCACAATCCTAGCAACATTCCTGCTACTAACAGACTTGCAGAGTGTATGGAGGGATTATTGTTATTCTCAACAAAAGTAGAGTTACACTTTTTGAATGTAGTGGGCCTGTGTGCAAGATAAAAAGTTGCCCTTTGCAATAATGGAGGGACATACCACAGTCCAGCCACCTATATGTGTAAATTTTTTAACATCATTCCCCAATAAAAAAATGACTCCTAGTAATAAAGTGTTGCTCTCAACTTGCCATGCGGAATGGTGGGTGTAGCCAGATTGGGTGGGACTTAAAGGAGCATGGTTGAATAAAATCTAAGTTTACTAAACATGTACAACACTCATCATGATCATTTTTAAAAATGAGAGCTCCTGCTCTCCATCCAGATTTGTTCTGCCTTCCACTTTCTCCTCTGTGTACACAGGTAGGATACTGCTTGGGAAACTGCTATGAGAGAGAAGGGGGGGGGCAGAGGACACTGCTGGGGCAGGAAGGGGGGGGGGGGTCAGAGGTCACCGCTTCAGTGAGAAAGAGGGGGCAGAGGACATTACTGTGGTGGGGGAAGGTGATGTGAAGGGCTGTAGAGGACATGGCTATAAGAGGGAAGTGGGGGAGGCAGAGAACAATGCTGGGGTAAAGGGGGGCCAGAGGTCTCTGGTTCAGCGAGAAGGGGGAGGGCAGAGGGCATTACTGTGGTGGGGGAAGGTGATGTGAAGGGCAGTAGAGGACACTGCTATGAGAGGGAAGGGGGAGGCAAAGAACACTGCTGGGGGGAAAGGGGGCCAGAGGTCTCTGCTTCAGCAAGAAGAAGGGGGGGGGGGGCAGAGGACATTACTGTGGTGGGGGGAAGGTGATGTCCAGGGTGGTAGAGGACACTGCTATGAGGGGGAAGAGGACACTACTGTGGAGGGGGGGATGTGAAGGGGGGCAGAGAATGCTGCTGGGGGGCAGAGGACACTACTGTAGGGGGAGGTAATG